CGCCCCCCCCGTTCGCCCCGCGGCCGGGGACATGGCGGGGGGGGAGGCGGGGAGAGGGCCTGGGGAGGGGAGGGGAGGGGAGGACGTGAGGCGCGAGGCCGCCTTTTGAGGGGGATGTTAGGAGTGATGTGGGACTTGGGGCTGTGAGGCGCGAAGGGGGAGGATTTGGAAGGACCGTGAGGCATGGGGAGCTGTTAGCAAGGCCAGGGTTTAGGGGGCTGTGAGGTATGAGGTGGGATTTGGGACTACGAGGCACAAGGCAGGGAGGATTGGGAGGGGGCGGACTGTGAGATCCGAGGGAGGATTTGGGGGCTGTGCACTGCGAGGGAGGAATTTAGGGGGTCCTGTGAGATAGGAGGTGGGATATGGGACATCTGTGAGGTGTGGAGGACTGCAAGGCAGGGGGATTTCAGGAATATGAAGTGCAAGAGGGGGAATTTGAATAAGGTGGGATTTTCGGGAGACACTTACAAGCAAGCTGGCATTTGTTGGGGGCTGCAAGGTGCAAGGCAGGGAGCAGAGCCAGGCCTGGCCATGTGCCCAGCCAAGGGCAGCCTGATGCAGTGCTCCCCTCTGCCACGGACCTTGCCAGACATATTGCCACTCTCCGTCCTGCCGCAGGTGCTGCAGAACCGCGGCTACCACAAGCTGGTGCTGCAGATCGGCCGGGGGGCGCAGGAGCCGGCCCCGCTGAGCAGCCCTGACTTCGTGCTGGAGGCCTTCCGCTTCAAGGACTCTCTGGCCGAGGACTTGCGACGAGCAGACCTAGTCATCAGCCACGCAGGTAGAGCACAGTGGCTGCCCAGCACCCCACAGAGCCTTCGCTGAGTGGGTAGACATGAAGTCAGGGGAATGGGAAGCATCCGTTTCTATAAGGCTCTGTGCTAGCATTAAACATTCAGGTCCACAACAAGAGATAAATGGATTAAATGTTCAGGAGCTTCTCAAGAGCCAGTAGGACAAAATTTATTCTATCCTTGCAAACACTGGTCATGCTTTCTGTTTCTCCTGTAGGTGCAGGTAGCTGTTTGGAGACACTGGAAGAAGGAAAACCACTAATAGTGGTAATAAACGAAAAGCTGATGAACAACCATCAGCTTGAATTGGCAAAGCAACTCCACAGAGATGGACATGTTCTCTATTGTAATTGCAGGTATAGAGCAGCTGTCTGTCCTGATTGTCTAGTGCTGTCTAGTACTATAACTTGGCCATTACAGTATTAAGAATGTAGCAAGTAAATTTCATTCTCTGTGACAAAATCATACTGACCAAATACCACAATTAACTTCCTGATCAAAGTAGCAGGGCAGAAATAAATTGCTCCCTGCAGACTTCATTTGAAAAAAAAAAAAAAACTCTGTGGATTTTTTTTGTGAGGATCACTAAAGATGACTGTATAGATACTTTCATTTTTTTATTATGTCAAGTATCTCAATTATTTAGAACAAAATGTGAGAATGGCCTTACTGATTAAAATCAGGAGGCCTTATAGCTCAGTAATCTATACGCAGTGGCCATACCTAATAGAAAATAAGATCAGGGCAAATGGGACTCTTCTATTACTTTTTCTCTAATATCCTAATACCTTAGGGTTTTACTAAATCAGATATTTGGTTGGTTGGTTAGTAGCTTTCAATCGTTATTTTTCATTATTCAAGCTACTCTCCTAAACAAACTCTGCATCTACGATATCCTTTTGACAGTGAGTTTCACAGACATATAGCCTGTCACTTAAAAAGAAAACGTCTTCTTGTCTGTTGATCCTGGATCCCGTTAGTTTCATTTGATGTTCTTTTAAGTATAGCTTCCCATTTCTTTTCATGAATGTGATTTATGGCACTCTATAAATAATAGATGACCTTTAAATTGAAGATAGGGGAAGTGTAATTCACATTATTTAGTCTACATCTTATTCCCTGCAGATAGGGTTCTGTGTGTTTCAGAAGAGCCTTCTGAAAAGACCAGGCCTTCTATTAATTTACGCTAGGCAAGTTTCTTAAACTTATTTTTTGAATTCTTCTGCCAACTTCAGAGGTAGGAAGGAATTTTTATTTCTTTGCTGATAATATTTACCTCCTGAGTCTTACTTGCAGTCTGAAAATTGCAAGCTAAAGAATTGATTTCTGGCCACACGTTAAGTCAATAATTTTGCCATGCGTTGAAATAGGATGAATTTCATAATGCTGTTTATGGCAGTGATCCTCAAGCCTTATTTAGTCTCCTAATATTGCTTGCATTCACAGAATATTAAAAATTAGAGCCGAGGCTGCTTATAAAAGCTGTGACGTGGCTTGAAATGTGTTCCTTCCTTGCTGCGTGTGAGCCAGTGATGGCTTGGCCCACTGTTTTTTGGGGTCTCCATTTCAATATATGTCCATATTTTCATTTCAATTAAAAGATTATGCATGCATATGAATAGAAAGTAAATTGTGTGAAGAAAAAAAAA